TCCGGCTCACTGTCGGGTGTTGAATCATCTCTGCCCATCAGGGGCGGGACTCCATCGACTTGATGGTGCTGGAAAGGGAACTGATTGACCCGGCCGCGCTGGCCTGGGAGGCTGTGCTTGACATGGGGAACTGCTGAAAGTTCGAATGGCTCGTAGGAGGTGGGGACTCCACTGAATCCACTCCTACTCGAAGAGTCTCCAGCTAAGCTGGAGCTGCGCCTCACCACTGTGGTGGGCACTCCTTGGAGTAGCTGCATCTGGTGTTGGTGTTACTGTGGCATGAAGGACTTCTTCATGCCATTGAACTTGTTGATGGCCCATCAGGCTTGGGGATCTTCGACTTCACCTTGCACTGCGGAAGTTTGTGATCTGGGCTCCACAACAGTAACAGGCTTCGCCTGGCTGGGACTGCTGGTAGAAGACAGCAGCTGGGAGCCTTCCTTCATCTTCTTGTGATCAAAAGGAGGTGGCTTGGGATTGGAATATGGCTTCCGGTCCTTGGCCTTCTGTTGGTCCAACCATTCCTTGCTGGGCTTGAATCTGTCATTGGACAGCTCTCTCTAGATGATCAAGGGTATCAGGGAACTGGATGGTACCGTTCATGGCATAGGCTGCTCAACGGTCTTCTGGTAATCTCATATCTTCCTTCTTGTAGTCCATGGTGGCCACGGTTGCCTTCAACCTTGCTCGTCCCCAAGTAACACCTTGTCTTTGGGTCTTGTCCAGATGCGGCCTGGTAGTCGTCTGAGTCAGAGTTCTTACATCAATGAACGCCGTTCCGACTAGATCATAGACTTGATCAACGTCGCTGTCGACCTTCCTCAAGTAGTAGTCAAGTCTGTCATGATACTCTTGCTTTGGGAACAAACCACGTTGGATGGTCTTGATGTATTGTAGTATGGGAACTCTTTTGTAGAGCCTTGCATCACTATCAAACGGATCCTCTGGAGCATCACAATGGGGTCGAGCTTGACTGCATCCTCATAGTCTGGGAGGCCTCTCAACTTGACTTCATTGCTTCGGTACAGTATGTCACCTGTATGGGGTTGCACCAGTCTTGAGAATGTTCTCATAGGATCAGTCGACTTGTCGTAGATGGATGACTTTGCCTTGTACTCGCTGAGTTCCAAAGCATCGTACTCTTGCACTTGTGGATCAGCAAGTGATGCCTGAAGTGTCGGCTTCTCCGGCTTGGATGGTGCCTGACTCTTCATGTCTCAATGGCCAATGAAGCCAGTGGCACATCATTCCACTCAGGCTTGATCCTTAGTCCTGGACAATGTGTGTCAGGGTCTCTCTCAAAAGGATAATACCTGGTGTCAGCCTGTCCATTTGGATGAAGAGGAACTGACGCTTGGAACTCTTGTTCTGGTTCCTGTAGCTGTTTGCCTCTTCCTTGATGGCTTCTTCCTGAGGAATTGAATTCCCTACCCCCCCTAGAAGGGTATCTTCTCCACCACGACCACCTCTTCCTTGGAATCTCATGGTCTTGCTGGTGTGTAATGCACTCTTGTGCTTGCTTGTTCCTTGGAACTAGCTTGTGTTCTCGTGGAACTGTTCTTGTGTGGATACTCCTGCAGGAAGGATCTCACGACGGGCACTACTCTTGTAGTTGCCTGTAAAAGCTTCTTGTTGGCTGGATAGCCTTCTTTTCGTGCACTCTGGTGTACTGGCTGAATAGCCTCTTTGTGACAGCTCACGTAGTTCGGTGGAACTCGTGGTGTTCTTGTGTCCGTTTGGCTGGACCTTTCCGTGGCTCAGGGTAGTAGCGAACTCCTCTGTAGCTTTTGCGTTGCCTCTGTTCTTCTGCAGATGCCTTCGTATACTTAGATGAGTACACGGTGTGAGTTTGAGCAGGTTAAACAGTTCTCTCGTGAAGATTTGCCTCTCCGTGATACTTATGAGCTTCCTCGTGATTTTTGTGTTTCTCTTCACAGTAGCACTGTATCACTCGAATCAACCTATCTCACTCAATTCTTGGAGTTAGAAGCTTGCACTGATACTCAGAGATGCGGCTAGATGTCCTCTATCGATTGATGTATGGGATCTCTTGCTTGCGACGTCTGTGTCAGGATCTATCTTGATCCCCGTGCGTTGACTTCTGCTCGACGTGATGAGATGGATGAAAATCACGAAATCTTGCGCGATGACGTAATCGACTTCAACTCGCTGGATAAGAGGACTTCCGCGATGGCGACAATAGCAAATCCGTGTGGAATCTTCTTCTTGATCTACCGATACTCTTGGATCAACGTAGTTCCGGCCGGAAACTGTTCGATCGATCGGTGGCGTCCAAATGGGATTGACTTACTGTATCTTCCCGCGAGCACCTCTTTCCTGTTAGAGCTGTTCGCCTACACTGATAGTGTGGCTAGAGGCTGATTCTTTGCACCTCTACTCTGTTGCAGGTGTTGACTCACTTCAAGTCAACTCAACTTGCTTGGTTTACCTTGATATCGATCTCGAGATCGGTAGTAGTAACTCGAGATGGGCTTTTGCTTTTCAGTGTTGTTTGCTAGTAATACTGCAGCTTATTGGGGAGTAATTTGGTTTTAGATTAAGCTGAAAAGCAAAAGTGATCTTTCTGCTGGGTTGCAGGTTTATTCTTCAAGTTGAATGGATATAAGCTGCACGCAATACTTTAGACCTAAAACTCCCTCGGTTCCTTGCATCATGAATATGCATGCGAACCGGACTAGATGTTTAATACATGAGTCAATAGTAAAGAGGTGTCAGGTATATTTCCTCCAACAGTATCAAGCCTGAATGGATTGATGTTTCCACACATCATTGGCGATTGAGACCATGGCATATCGATGTCCAGTTCAGTCTACACCGCCAGTCAAGAGCACAGTTTGAGTCTACGAGAATGCAGCCGGAACTTCCTAGTTTCCAGCTACAGCAATACCAAGTGACCGGAACTTCCCAGTCCACGGTTCAACAAGCGATCGGAACTTCCCAGTTTCGAATACAGCAACATCAAGTGACGGCACCAACGGCCACAGCAAATCATACAGGAGTGGCAACACTCACAAGAGTGGTAGCCACGCTGCGCGGATGACTATAGCATCACGGGCGGGTCCAGTTGGTGACCTCCCCCCTTAGCTAATAGCCTGCCTCTGTTGGGTTTAAACTTTCCCGGCTGAGAGAGCCAACTCTTTCCGCCCCAATGTTTTTGGTAGCGGTACCGTAGACAAGTCGTACTCTCAGAGTAGCCTTAAAATAGAATTCTTTTTCTAATATCACCCTTTTGTTAAGCAACCGGTCCTATAGCCGTTGTAGGATCCGGGATACAACATTTTAGCACATATAGTCATCCCAGTTCCAGAACTCATTGCACATTGCACGGAGTGGAGGATAAACTTGAAGACTGAATGGACATGTGCTACCTTCACAGTTGCAGTTCAATCTGATCTGTGGCCAATGCTGGAGGTATCTTTACACTTGTGGCTTAGATAAATTATGGTAGCTATTTAGGTTCTATTCCCATAGGTAGCCTTCTGTTGTTTCAGCCTTCTGTTTCATACTGGGTGAGTATGACATACATGTAGCTGTACACAGCAACACAGCATAACTGGAACACTGGTACTCAACCTGAACTCCTCAATTATAGAATCATAGCCTCTGCCATGAATACCGGCCTATAACAGCTAATACAGCCATCCATCTCCCGCAAGTACAATAGATGATGGTTCAAACCGTCGTGATCAACATTGAGGACAAGCTTCACCAAGCGCCAAGTCAAGGGCGCCTTCCTTGCACGTGAGCTGTATGTCAACTTGCATCTGCCACCACTGGAGGATCAAAACTTGGAAAAGACATCGCCAAGATCAGGGGTTCCAACACCCGACGCCAGCCAACCACCACTAGCGGCCGCCAGTGTACCCCACTGAGAGGAACAATAGGACAATCCATGATTGGTTCTATGCAACATTGCTTTATGCAGTCCCATGGTCACGGTGAAGAGTTATCTGGGTCATGGTGAAGAGCTAGCTCGTGTATGATTGTGATGTCAAAATGAATCTCAGCTGTCGAGGTTATTTCCAAGATCTATCCCACCAGGCATATTCTGACCAGATGGACCGCGAGCTACAAAGATGTGCAGTACGCCTTTGATAGTTTATTGTATGGGATTCTATGAGTTTCCTGAGACCAAGATGGACACCCTACTATAGCCCTGTGGTAAATTTGTAGGTTTGGCTTTGCTTTCCAAAGCAATGCAAGAAACGTGGGTTGGCGAACCCGGAGGGACCTCTTGTGTGGAAGCCAATCGAAGATCCAAATACCATCTACGACTGTACAACCCAACAGAGCTGTCTCTTGCACACGTTTCGTCCAGCCAGACCCTGCAGATTTCTCAGAACAAGATCAATTGGATCCTGATGATTGTACATTGCTCTAACTTTGGATCACTCTCCAGAACTTCATCATTTGTATCAGGCATAATCACTCTCAGCCTCCCAGTGAGAAAACATCCAAGAGACCATGATATCTGCTTCATTCTTCGGAAGATATGCGGCGGTTAGGTCTGTAGCAATCATCACCGCCCGAACGAGCGGCTTCATCACAAGTGGCCGTCAGATTGTTTGTCCGCCCAAAAGGATCCAGTCCTTCCATTCTCGATGTCATTCCACAACAGCCTCCACTACTAGTAATGCTAATGGTGATGCCAAGCCCTGCAGTGTTGCCATTGTGGGGACGGGTCCGTCTGGTTGCTATACGGCCAAATATTTGTTGAATGCCTTTGACAAGAAATCCACCACCAATAGTAGCGGTATTCACATTGACATGCTCGAACGATTACCGACACCCTACGGACTGGTACGATACGGAGTGGCACCCGATCACCCGGAAGTCAAAAATGTCGAGAATGATTTTGCACAACTCTTTGTTGACAGCAATCGAATCCAATTCTGGGGCAATGTGGCCGTGGGATCAGACGCCGTCGTGTCTCTGGAAGAATTGCGAGAGCTCTATGATGTCGTGGTGCTGGCATACGGGTGTGCATCGGATCGAAAATTGGGTTTGCCAGGAGAGACGAGTCTCTTGGGGATTGTGAGTGCCCGAGAATTTGTGGCATGGTACAATGGACATCCCTATTTTGATCACATTGGTTACGAGGTGGCAAACGCTTTAGGCAACGACAATAACGACAATCCAAAACATGTAGTGATCATTGGACAAGGAAATGTGGCACTGGATTGTGCCCGAGTGCTTGCCAAGGGCGCTCAGGGATTGAAGGACACGGATATTGCTTCGAGATCCTTACCCATTATTGGAGAAGACGGGGTGGCCAATGTTACGGTTGTGGGGCGACGGGGACATATCCAAGGAGCTTTCACCATCAAGGAACTCCGTGAATTGACCAAATTGCAAGCGGAAGGACATGGAGCCAAGTTTGTAGTATTAGAGGAAGAATTGGATTTGGGAGAAACGCCGGCATCCAAACAGGAGCTAGAACAAAAAGGAAGTAGACCGAAAGTGAGAATCAACAAACTGCTCCGAGATGCAGCAGCGGCATCGTCCAACCATGATGACACGACAACAATGGACACCAAACAAGTCCAGCTTCGGTTTCTGCTCAGTCCCAAGGAATTCCAGCCCTCGGATGCAGATCCATCCGCGGTAGGCGCAGTAGTCTGCGAAAGAACCCAGTTGGAAGGAGAACCTGGCAAGCAACGAGCAGTTGGGACGGGTCAATTGGAAACCTTCCCTGCGAATCTGGTACTTGTGAGTATTGGATACAAAGGCACTCCCTTGCCTGGTTTGGAGCAATGGTTTGATGCCCAACGAGGCGTGGTACAAAACAGGGGTGGCAAGGTGGACGAAGCGACTGCAGCTTTGGGTGGTCTCTACGTTTCCGGTTGGCTGAAACGAGGTCCCAGCGGGATTATCGGAACCAACATTATGGATGCCAAGGATACCGTTGTCAACATTATGAAAGACTTGGATGCATCCAACTCTGATGACAGCAAATCCGACGCCAGAGAAAAACTACTGGAGTTATTACAGCAAAGAGGCGTTCATGTGGTTTCGTGGTCGGACTTTCAAAAGATTGATGCCAAGGAGACAAGTGCCAGTTACAAACGAACCGACCAACAGCCACGAGAAAAGATTGTCGAGCTAGACGAAATGCTGGAAGCCGCCGGTGTTGCTTCACGGTAGCTTTTAGAATGTAGTAAACACAATTCTACCCTCCAAGTTTTAGCAAACCTCCAATAATTGCAACGGTGCAAAAGGTTTATTCTACAGTACACTGAAATTTCAGCAAACGAACCATTGTGGTGGGCGACGGCAGGCCAAGAGTTTCCTGTCGATTGTTGATTGTAATTCTGTTGCCAGCAGTAATTCCATTACTATTATTGTTGTTGTTCTTGCTTATTATTTTTCCCTCGCTTGGGTCTTTCCTTTTTGACGGCTTTCATGTACTTGCCATTTTCTTCATAGTACTTGATGGAATCCATATCCGAAAACGTCCTGCCAATGACATTGCCCCCCAATCGCTTGACCATGTCACCCACCAATTTGGAATAGCCTCCCGCAGAAGCAATGAAATGTTTGGAATGCGACAGATAGTAAAAATCGGCATCGGCATCACCGCCGTCTAGGTTGATGGTGACATTGTTCCCGGCCTTTTCCAATGCGCGGACCAAGCAGCCACTGTAGACGCGAGAATAAAAGAAACTGAATTGGATGATTGAATGAATTGTGGATTGTTGTGTGGGTGGAAAAGCAAGGTGAAAAAACAAAACATCCAAGGTGAGAACAGAAAAGAAACAAACTATAGCAATCGCCTCTTCTTTTGTGTGAGATGAGACTCACTATTGCGGTTTGTAGGTTCCTCCAATGATAATGACATTTTTGCTTCCGGATTGTTCAATATTGTCAAGGTATTCATAAACCGACTTGATGGAAGACCGGTATCCCTCCGTGTGCAGTGGATCTCCTCCTTGTGTGAGCAGTGTAAAGACGGGATCTTTGGATTCTTCAATGACATCTCCCACTCTCAAATGCAGCACAATGGCATCTTCGGGTGGTGTGGCGGTCTTGTAGGGCACGAAATCCTTCATTTGTTCCATGACTTCGGCCACAACATCCATATTGCCACCACTTATATACCGCGGATTGGGTGTTCCACTCTTTTTGTAAATGCGAGGACAGGCAATTTTGCTGTAATTGAGTGCCAGAGGCCGGGGTTCGTCGGGTTGGAAATTTTTGCCATTGCCACAACGGGCACACATTTTGATACAGTCGCCCAGTGGGTATACGGGATGATCATTCTTGAATTTGCGACACCAAGGAGCTTCCTTTTCGCATTCGGCAATCAACTCGTTGGCACAGGAATGCAACCATTGGTCGGTTAACCAAGTGTGCTTTTTCAGTAACGGACTGTTCCGGTATTCGGTGGGGTCCATGCCCGGGGAAACAGCAGTACTTGTATCCGCAGCAGCATTGCTCGTATCAACAGCAGTGTTTGTAGATGATGTCGTTATTTTGTCAACCCCAACATTACTCTGTGCAATACTTGCTGTCTCCCTCCTAATTTCCCTGCTGCTGCTGGATAAGAGAAGTGGAGCTTGTTGTTGTGGGGGTATTGGCGGCGATCGAAAGCTCATCAACATGCATCCCAGCACAAACGATGCCAGCAGACTACCAAAATACAGTTGCCTGGATATCCGAATCTCTTCATTTTGCCGTCGAATGGGGGCAATAGAGACCTTCATGGTGTGATATTGTACAACCTGGAAGGAGCAGCGAAGATTGTGTCAATGCGCGGTTCCTCTTTCATGTTTCGCTCGGCACAAAATAGAGGGTCCGTGAACAAATCAATTGGTAGTCTAATTTTGTGACTTTGCTTTCTAAAATAAACGAACTTTGACCATTTTGACTTTTTAACCAAACAAGCTTGGTACAGTATCACAGGCTTATGCATACGGTATTCATAACCAGCTTGTCGGCGGCTTATTTGATCTTCGAAAGAGTTCTTGGATGGATTTATCCCATACGTGAAACGTGCTTTAGAGTATCTTTGCTGTCCAAGATCGCAATGACCTTCTCGAAAAGCTTGACGATCGGCAGCTTCCAATGCAAGGGTGGTAATGCGGGGAGGGAGCAACGCAGTGTTGAGAGCTCCAAAGCACTGGACCCTTGTTTATCTGTGGATGGCATCGTGTAAATATCACGAGGACCAGTCCAGGAATCGGATAAAACTTTTATCCCGGCAACTACAGTGAACACAACCAATGGTTGACGGTTGACTCTATAAAAGTTGTTTCGGATAGCAAAGAAATCAGCTGGAATCGAATCCGATCAGAATTGTTAAGCGAACAGTAGCGAGGGAGGAGCCCTCTTTCACACAACCACCACCTCAACAGAGGCCAGATAACACCAGGTCATTCTCTTTTCTTTCATTCAAAAATTCCACGATCATCATGTCTGACGAAACGCCACAGTGGGTAGACGAGTCTTCTCCAGAGCAACCTCCAACGGCGACAGGAGAGCAACCTGAAACTGAACCAAACCCTGCTGCCGAAGCACCAGCATCAGCACCTGAGCCAATTCCAGCACCAGTTCCGCCTCTACCACCAGCACCAGTGCCACAAAAAGAGCCAGAAAAAATTCCAGTTGAGCAACCAAAGGAAAGCAGTGGTGTGATGCTTACCGAGACTGACGAGAAGGACTTGAAGCCTTCCGATTTGGGGCCTCCCGTGGTTGAGGAAATGAAGTCACCAGCCAAAGTGGAACCCGTCAAAGATATAGAGTGAGAAGGGTCCCATGTTTTGCGGTCATGGAGGATATTGGATGTGCGGAGTCATGGTAATACTGACGACCTTCTTGACTTTTCTCGTATCTTTTATTTACAGAAAAGGCGAACCGACATGGGCATCCCCTCCTGCACCCGCTCCTGCTCCGGCACCTGCTCCCGCCTCGGTTCCCGTCAATGAAATCACAACGGGGGATCCTGCCATGGATGTGTCGGATACACAGATTGATTTGATACAGATGAAAGTAAAGAAGACATGTCTGCACAGGTCTTTTATTTATCTGACATACTTGGGCGCGCTCATTGCTTTGCTCATGCTCATTGGGCAGGGAATGGCCCTGTACTTCTACATGGTGCGTCAGTGTGTCTCTCTCAGGTTGGATAGCTTACTACCAACCACCTCTTGTGGCTTTCCTTTCTCAACGCATTCATCTCTCCCCTTTGGCAAATTGTCTATCTACCACCTGACATTTAGATGAGCCCCTTGCAAGGTGTTGTGCATTGCTATCTCATTGCCATGTGCTGTATTGTGGTTCTCAATGAGCTTCAGTGGACCGTATTTATCCGAGAATCAATGATTCTTCGCAACTGGATCACACGCGGACTCTTCTACGCGTTTATCGGCATCGTAGGTTTGATGGAAGACGAGACGGAAGATCCAGCTAGAAATGTGTCGCTTCCTGGACAAGAGGATTGCATGTTGTTTATCGAGATTATTTCCTTCACGATGGTCGGGCTGGGAGTTCTCTACTATGGCATGGGATGTCTTTGCATTGAGATTGTCAGGAATCAAGTCTTCGCAGACTACGAAAAGCGCTGCAAAGAGCTCAAGGCAGCCAGGAAAATGGGGCCCACGGCTACTGTACCCGCCATCTCTTGAGACACGACGACGACGTCTGATTTTCACGTACAGCAGTATTAGTTAGTTAGGAGATTCGAATGCAAGAGATTGGGTGACAGCCATGGAGGAGCAAGCCTTCGTCCTGAGCCACAACCCGGCCGCAAGTTTTCTTCACTCACTTTATTTGGGCTACCTTCATGCTACATACATATCAATCACCCCCGTTAAAATAACAGAAGTTTCATTTAATATTGTCCTGGTAACTGGCTAGTAGTGACCAGGTTGATAGCTCGGTGGCGACTGCGTTCTTCCTCCTCCGGGGTCAGTTGAATTTGGTGCCATAATTTGGTGCTGGTGCAGTTCTCCTGCACCGACCTCGCACCGCACTGCACCAAAATTAGGGGCACTTCAACTAGCGTAACTAGAGTAACTGACGTAACTAGCGTAACTAGCGTAGGGTAACTGACGTAACTGGCGTGCAACTGATGTAACTGGCGTAGAACATTGGAGGACTACTAACGTGGTCGTCATTTCAACTAGCTTTGTATTGTAAACAACTCTACAGAGACAACAGAGCAACGGCAACACTGTTTACAATGAGTTACACTTAGTTTGCAAGCTTTTGCAGCACTTGAATCACTGCAGCGGCAACTGCCTCCCCCCACCTCTTTTCCAACAGATGAGCTCTGTGAGATTCATCCAAGTCAGTCAAACAAGATGATGATCCAAGTCAGTCAAACAAGATGGTATCAGTCAACATGCCACGGAGATTCTTAATAACAAGGCTTTTTAATTTTTACTTTAATATTTTAACATAAAAGTAAAATTTTATTTTTGTACAGGCTGGTTTCTCTGCGTCCTCGCACACCAAATGCATCTTGTATTTGATTGAGTCATGTATGTGTTAAGTCTTTTTGTCACTCACCGGTCAACTGGTGGCTACTTGTTAAATAGGCGAAGATCACCAGTGTCCCTCCAGGACTTAACAACTTAAACTGACGTGGAAGGTGCCATTCTCCGGAAAGAGCACTGCACCAGGGAAATGGCACCAAATTCACACGACTCCTCCTCCGCAATGACACCAACAGCAGTCGGCGTGAGACTTTTAGACATTCGTACACGTACATGCAGCGTACGGTACCGGTACCGGAAGAGGTTCGGCGCATCCTTGTGTTTTCACAGCTCGCAGGTTACATTGCATCCAAGGAACCGTTATTTATCCGAGATCTCATGTTTGCCAGGTTTTGATCAGGCTCTCTTGCTCTCTTCTTGGGTTCCGTAGAGGCAAGACCAAGTTGGTTGTGGTGAACAGGTATCGCCACCGGTGATGATAATCAGAGATCGCATTCCCCGATAAGAAGGATAATAGTCTCTCCATTTGCTGTCAGGTTTCGAAAGAAAGAGAAATCTCTGATTGATAGCAATAACTTGAAAGAGGAGCAAAGATCTGTTCCAACCTAAGCGCACAATCCCAAAAGAATTCTGAAAACCGCGAAAGAAAATGTCATCTGAAGAGTAGGTGCTATTGCTTTTTTGAGGTGTTTGATTCTGTTGTTTGTTATCTGGTTTGCTAGAAACTTCGTTTTGAGGTATCTGATGCTAGGTTTTGCCATGGATGCCTCTTCGGTTCTAACTTCTTCTTCCCTACTCTTTCATCAGAGCTGATCCGGCCCTCAAAGAATGGAGCAAAAAAGAAGAGGCGAATCAAAATGAACAAATGCGATCCCAACTGGAACGATTGACCAAAGGTCCCAGGAAGAGCTGCCTCCACCGAACATTCAATTTGCTATCGTTTGTCATGGGTATGGCTGGATTCCTCATGATTATTGGACAGCTGATAGGCTTGTATTACTATGAGATGGACCCGATCCAGGGTATCATGAGAGGATATGTGGTACTCATGTCTCTGTTGGTGATTTTGACCGAATTGCAATGGTTTCAATTCATTCGAGAATCTGCCATTCTTCGGATTTGGATTACCCGTGGCATCTTTTATTCCTTTGTGGGTGTGTTGGGCCTGGAGGAGAATGACACGACAAAGATATCCAGCGAACACGTGGGTGTGGCATCAGCTGTGAAATTTGTGGAAGTTGTGGCATACATAATGGTGGGCTGTGGCTGTCTGTACTTTGTCATGGGGTGTCTATGTCTGCAGCTGATTTATAACCGAGTGGTGACAGACTACGAACAAAGAGTGAGCGAGGCCAAGGCCAACCAGAAAAAGGTCACCGGCGGCTACAAAGATCCAACCAGCAATGGATCCATGGCGTAGAGCGTCAACCATCCTGCTGTACGGCTTTCTGCCTGGAAATATGCACGACAATTTTCACAATTGCATAAGAAAGCATCGACACACGCCCTCTCCTGGAGAATCCAAATTGCGGCAATGTTGTGGAGTGGGTATGACATACCGGTACTACGCAAACGTCAGCTTCAAAAGAACACAGTCGTAGAAGCAAAATCAACCCGATCATCATAATGTTTGTGTTAGACTGAACAGTGTTGCTAGACTTAGTGTGGATTGTCATCTGTGCTAGTAGATTGATGTGTTGCTCCCCCAAAGTGATCACTTCATCAGAGTTCCCGTCAGTGCTCCATTTATGAGAACAAAGCACATCTGAACCAGTGGACCTCGTCATTCAATCCGCAACGGGGAAGCACCAAAGACAACTCTACCGGTACTGGAAAGAACATCCACCAACTCCATCAACTTAGTCAAATTTCTTTTCCATTTCGGCAAATCGTTCCAACATCCTTTTGGTCCCCTTGACTAGATCCTCTTCGGGGACGCCAGTGGCAATCACCGAGGGTCTGGCCATGACGGCTTCAATCCATGCCTTGAGATGATCCAAGCCCAGTTCATCACAAATCTGTCGGGGGTTCACCACAACATTGGTGTTGCTGGTAAATGCCGGCAAGATGATGCAGGCTCGTTGGACAAAGGGTGCTACCGACACTTCGGCCAATGTGAATTGCTCTCCTAGCAAAAAGGGCCCACCACTGCTGTGATGTTTCAGAAAAGCATTGGTAGCTACCAGTCCTTCTTGAAAGGTTTTGAGTGCTGCTTCCAGCTTGTCCTCCTTGGCCCGCAGGAGGGAAAAATAGGCAAAGTTGGAGCCGCAGAGTTCGGTAAAGAGCCGCATGGTGGCCCTGTCCTTGGGGGAGGACGGAATGAGACTACCACCAAATTCTTCCACCACGTACTCGCTGACAACCAAACTTTCGCACAAAATGGTGTCATCGTCCATTTGCAACAAGGGAACTTTTGCCCGGGCATCTGGAAGAGGATTGGATTTGGCGTACAGCTCGACAAACTCGGGTGATTTGTGCTCCAAATCCACCTTGACTTTTTCATAGTCTACGGAACATTCCTCCAAGGCAATCCAAGCCCTCTGGGCGTACGGTCAGCTTCCAGAATTGAAGAAGCGGGGTTTGCCGGCAAAGCCCTGCACAGCGGAAAGCAACAGCAACAGTGCAACCACTCTCATTGTTAATTACTAGTTTCTAGACCTCAATGAATGATGATGGTAACAGCAAACAGTCAGAATCGAATCTGATTGTGGCAATCATCACTATCATCGTCATCCTTCGGCAAATGATGGCACTGCATGATTGATTGGCAAGAGAGACAGAAAAGATTTTGTCGATGACGTACGAAGTGGTTGCATGGAACTTCAAAGGGTACTACTAGTAGCACCGTTGGACTTGTTCAGTGGTGATAGTAACGGTACCGGTACCCGCGTGACATGGAAGATCCAGGAACCTATTGTGAGTGAGTCATGGATACATCCGCGACTTCTTCAGGCTTCTTGGTTCGTAACGGTGGAAACATGACTTGATTTGATTTTGACAGTTTCACACGGTGAAACTAATTTCACAAGTGTGAAATACGTGAAACTAGTTTCACGCAAAAAGTGTGTGGCTTTGTATGATTCGTTTTCACAAATCCGTTTCATTGTTTCACAAACATAAATGTAATTTCACGTAAAGTGAACTAAAACGTGAAATTTCAACCAAGGGAAACTATTAATAGCCCATTTCCGGACGTTGTACTTTGGAGTGACAACCAACTTATTACATTCATTTTGGCTCACAATTTTGCAGAATCGAATCGAATCCGAGCAAACCAAATCATGTTTGCCACCAGCAAGAACGAAATAAAAAAGAGTGAGTTTGAAGCCATGTTGGAGAAACATGGACTGAGTCATTGCTACACTGCCTTGAAAGGTAGCGAAGGAGCCGTCCAACTCCAGCATGTAATGAATCTCAAAAAGATTGCCGTTCAGGAAGATGGAGAAGCTGCTCTGGCCAAGGCATTGGGAGAAGCCGGTGTTGTTTCTGTCGAAGATCAAAAGTCATTGGCTGTCCTATTGCGCAAGCAAATCGAAGAACGCGGTGGCTTGCCTATGAAGCCGGTTGAGGCAGCAACCTTGGAAGGCGACACGGCTGCCTGGAAGGCTGGCATCGCCAAGGAAGATGGGACGCTTCCCACTGAAATACAAGGCGCCGAAGAGAAAGAAGAAAAGAAAAAGGAAGCATTCATCGATGAAGCTGGCACGGTGTGGCCAGCAGGAATGAAGATTGTAAATGGCCATCTGGCCCAGAGCATCCGAGCCCAGGGTATGCTCAAAGAACCCAATGAATTTGGCTACATTCACATTGCCGCAGAGATCGAAATGCCATCCCCCTTCCACAAGAACAGTGCCATGAAAGCTGGTCTCCTGGAAGAGCTCAAGGTAGCGTGTAAAGAGCTCCTGGAGCTGTATCCAGGGGAAGTTCAACGGGCTGACGTCTTCGACGCCTTTATCATTCCACCGGGCTCCAAAGAAGGTCGCGAAGTTCTTGACAAGGGCAACTATGACATTCACGTTGCCGAGTTCGACACAGCCGTATTGATTGAGTGTGTCAACCCCGATGCGGCTGTGCGAATCCGTGCCACACCAGACTTTGCAAAGATGAAAGGAAAGATTGATAAGGTGGCTCGCTTTGTCCACTGTATCACCTGCTCCAACGCCAAACGAATCGATGAAGTCAGCAAGGAGACCGATGGTGTCTTTTTGTTTAATTACTTTTTCGCTGCCGACATGGAGTCGAAAGGTTCTGAGGGCATTGATATTCTCAAAAGTGTGTGGGAATACACTGCTGGATGGTGGACGGCCAACGCCAATCTCGACAACTCGACGCCATTGTTGCCCTTGGAAGGCGAATGTTCCCAGTACAGCTTGATCAATCACTGCCGCTGGAATAAGGGCCTAGATGTTTTCCCGCACTTGATTTTTCGTCCGTCCCTGGATCAATTCGTGCTCAAGAACTTCACCGCCAACGACATCATGGCCATGCCCGTTCTTTGCCACCTGGCTTAGACAGCAACGCAAAGCTGTACTGCACACGATTCTCCCTTTGTCTTGTCTTGGCTTGACTTCCGCCGCTAGTTCCACATCAAAACAAAAACAAAAAACGGAAAACTGTGGCAGCAACTGTCCTTTGGAGGGAAGCAAGGATCGCACAAATCAATATCACATCAATTACCAAACCAACACGCTCCGAACCACCAGCACCAACTTCTCGGACGCCGTATGAATACATGTAATAAAAAGACAATGAACAGCGCCGTTACCAAGAAAGGAAACACAACGGTTACCTATCAGTTCCAACACCAGCGTTGAAGAAGCAGATACCGACCGTAGCGAGATAATCCTTGACCATTGTCGTTTTGCTTTAGAGTTAACTTGGACTTCAGAATAGTTATCCCGCAGTACTTGGCATCCAACCCTTCGGTATCGCGCCAGGGGCAGCAGCCGCAGTCGCCATCGCCAGAGCGGCATCGCTTCGAGCATCCTTCTGCATTCTGTACCGGTACTAGTACCGCTTCTTTCTGCATGGTGAGCAAAGATTTTTTGGATGACGTATAGTACGGTACAGAACCGGTACCAGGTACCTGGTACCAGTACCGCACACCGTACGGTACTGGTGCCTGGTATGGTACAGTACGATACCTGATGCGCATCACGAGTGCGAATCACGAATCGAATCGAATCCTCATTTTTCTTTTTTCTCAAGATCTTGAAGCACTCATCCCCCTTCCTCATCGGTGGTACCGTCATGGCCACCATCTCGACAGCAGCCTGGCGAAAGGTCCAAGCCATTTCGGGCTTGTTCTTTGCCGTCTTCTTGACGGTCCATCTCATTTCGCACATTTCCAACCTGGTCAGTCAACAGGTTGGAAATGACACCTTGGCGTTGGCACGAGGGTTTATCGCAATGCCATCTTCGAATCTCTACTCGCTGCCAGTGTCTTGGTGCACATGGCCAGCAATACGATCATTTACTTTCGACGGCAAAAGATAGTAGCAGCGGCAGCCAAAAAGAAGAATGATGACGAAGACGACAAAAGGAAGAAATCTACCGCACCTGCCATTTCTGCAGAACTACAGGCCCATCGCTACACGGGGTATATTCTTTCTTTTTTCATATTTGGACATGTTTGGGGAGTTCGAGGAGCACCGTACGCTGCCCTGGGATTGGAAGAATCCGACAAACTGGACTATACCTATGTGTACCTAGCCACACAAGGTTTTGGATCCTTCTTCCCAATCTATCTTATCGTGTTGGGGTTGGCGGGCCTTTGGCACATGGTCTACGGTATTCGAGTGGGACTGGCAACTCTGCTTGGAAGATCGACAGCTGGAGCTTCGTTGTCCAAAATGTGGACAGTTCTGACTATCATGGTGGGGATACTTCTCGTCAATGGGGTAGCAGCCATTAACGGTTGGCATCACTACGAGGTAGTCGTCCTTGAGGAACATGCGAAGGCTCACGAAATCGTCGACCAGTACGTGCCACCCATGATTCTTTTCTTCAACAAAGATGATAAAGAAAACTGAAGGATGAGGACAACCAAGTCAAACTTTTGGGACCGCACAGGGTTCCCTGCCAAATTCTGCCAAGTTGCCCGTTTCAGCAGGGAATGGCGGGTCGCACAGCACGAGATAGGATATCTCTCTCCTTGCAGATGTAACACAACCTGGCACCCAAGAGATGTGCAATATGGTAGCTTCGTGGTTTCACTTAGGTACTAGCTCGAGTTCCTTTATTCTACAGACGACAATCCACAGTACTCTTACACAGCATCAATAGCCCCTCTGCGCTCAGCAACCATGATGAACCAACCCTAAATAAGGCATGTAGGTTTTGATTACCATTGACAGACAACAGGTCAACAATGAATGAAAAGATCGCAACTCTAGCAGCCTCCCTGTAGCGGCAAGCCGCCTTCTAGTTGCCCGATATCATAGTCCCGCCATATCGTTGACTTGGCTTGTTTGAATTCCTCTTCCGTCAAGAGGCCATCATCCCACATACGCTTCAATTTAGACAGATCCTCCATCAAGCCTTGGCTGGAGCTTTTCGGTTGAAACTCATGCACAAGTTTGAATGCAATGGCTCCCACCAGCACATCATTTGAATTATTCGTTCGTGTGAATGTCAGCAGGGCATCAATTCCCAGCTTCTTGTAATGAGATTGCTGTTGCTGCACGAAGGCTTTCCATTCCTCCTTGAGCCCTGCGGCTTCCACATGCAATGGATTTCTCTGGAACGATTTACAACTTCGACACATAATCCCGATGGACAGGAACTCCAATAATCCGATCAGCAGAAACCAGAAAGACCCAGTTATCATGAAACCCACCACAGGTACCAAGGTTGAGGCAACCAAAAAGCAAAGTAACAGAGAAACGACTACTTTGGCGTTGCGTTGTATCTTGGTTCTTAGAGATTCAAAGTTGCGGTGACGCTGCACAGTTCCATCGTAGCTTTGTTGCCAGAGCGGCTCTGTAACACCTCTTTTAGCCAGCAATTTCGGCACCGGAGCCCTTGGGACACTCCACTCGCCCCCTTCGGAAAGATCCTTGACCAAAAGGACTGATGCTTTGTCTTCGATTGCCAGGGCAGTATCTAAAGCAGGAACACGGCTTGCTTCAGTTGCTGTCCCCACACTTATCACCCTTCCATTCTTCGTGACAGCAACCTCTACATGATCCTGATGTGCCATAGTATGTATGCTGTAGCTACCAGCAGGTATGACAAGGGATAGCCAGGTTGATGCTGCTTCTCAAAATAAATGCTTACAACGAAGGTGGATATGGACTCTTTCGAAGACCCTTTCACTCGACCCCCACTTGTTCCGAGTCAGAGGGATCTTTTCGTTGCTAGCTATCATACTGGTACCAGCACAGCCGTAGCATACAGTAGCAAGCGTTTGTTGACAGCACGGATAAAATCTTCAATCTTCAGTCTTGCTTAGCGGTGCACAGTGAGTAAGACCCAAAAATGAGAGCACAACGTGAGCGTATCTTCATGTTGGTCGGTTGACAACACAGCTCAACACACCCCGTGGTTGTGCGTGGCTCAGTGGAGCGTCCACACTTGTGAACAAATCTCGAGGTCATAAGTGTGTGCTGCACTGATAAGAGCCGCGGATAAAATTTGCCTTCTGGGCCAGATAGTGTTAGAAAAGGTCCTATTGGATAGAGCTACAAGAGAGTGTAGATTCGACAGCTAGCTAACCGGTGAGTCCATTGCCCTGGCTAACCGGATGGCACGACAGGAACAAAGGGAGCTCCCAAGAAGTTAGGGAAGAGAGAATGAAGCTGGCTAGCTAGGATTGCAGAAAGAAGTTTGCTACAAAACCAAAGCTCAAGTTTTCGTTCTTTTCGTTCTACTCTGTACTAGCTACCGGTACGTGTGCATTGTTCATTGGGATACTTTCTCATGTGACCCATCATTTCGTGTATGCAACCTACAGTGTCCCCTCGCTCAAAACCCTTCAAGAGACACAAAGACGCATTCTCAAACTTCACAGCCACCACCATAAATTCTATGCATACGCTTGGTTGGGCTGGTTTTGAATCGAGAGCCTCATGGCCATGAGATGGTCGGCCTCGATTTGGGCGTCCGCGTCATTAGCACTACTATTGTAGTTCAAGTCGCCGACTGACATTTGACGTGCGACTTCCATGTCGGCCTCCACCTGGGCCTCGGCGGACAAATTGGCCTGAGACATGAACATGCTGTCTTCAGGCCGAATGGTGGCGGCCTTCAGGGCGCTCATCCATTTGTTAAAGTTTGCCGCATCTGGCGCAGCCGCATACAGCACAGGAGCACCGTGCCGCAAAGGATCCACGTGCAAAACAAAAGAAAATGGCTTCTTAATGGACTTGTTGGTTTCCGCCACCGTCGACACGCCCATTGTGATGTTGGAGATAGTTCCCTTGACGCGTTCCTTGGGGCCGTCGCTGTACGTCATCTGATACACTCCGCCCTCCCCGTAGAGGGCGAAAAACCTTCGCTTCCACCCTTTAATCTTGTCAAGCTTCCACTGTGGGAGAGAGAGGGGGCGGGAATCGGTGAGGCTTGAAGAACAGGAGACACTGTAAATCAGTAGCTTCCAGATTGCACTTACCAGATAGCCATACATTTGCATGGGGTGATCGATTCCTTGTTGTTGTGGTGTGAGTTCTGTTGGAACATAGAGACTGCTTGTCGATTCATGCATGTCAGCATAAGGAGAGACTTCCGTGGCGGTCACGGTCGAGAAATCACCTCCGTACTCTCCTCCCGAAGAGGGAACATCAAACACATTCCTTTGGGAAGACACGACATTCCTTTGGGAAGACATGTCCATCGGCGACGATAGACTGGATCGCCTGTCGTTGCCGCCCACTTCGCTTTCTCGCAACTGACGAGCCACCTCGGAATCGGCTTCATCCAAGCTGGACTTGAGCGTTTTGTGTTCCGAGTCTTGAGCCCGCACTTCTTGCTGCAGCAACTGAAATGCCGCGTACAAGGATTGCTGCTGTTGTTCCAAATCGGCAATGCGCTCGGTCTGGACCTGGAATCGGCATTTCATCTGTTCATCGCGCAGCTGGCTCTCATTCACGCGAGCGTTCAAGTTTCGTTCCAATCCTTCCACCTTTTCCTGCTCGACTCGCAACTGCAACTCGACATCACAGAAACGTTGGTAGAGACTATCATGTTCAGACTTTGCAAAGTTGTAATTGTTCTGTGTCGACTTGAGCAATCCCTGCTTTTCATTGAGTTCTTGTGCGAATCGATCGAGATGCATCTTTTGATTGGCACAGAGAGTCTGCAGTTGCGACGCCTTGGTGGCATGACCCCGCAACTCTTCGTAGAGTTCGGTAATCTTGGCATCCTTGGCCAAAGCCTCCTTGGCCTGTTCTTCGCTGAGACCATTCATCATGAGGGCGTCAAAGGTGTGGACCGACATGTCGTCCGCACCGAGGTGACTGACATCGTCTTCCAAACCCTCGAATGGATTGCTGGGCACAACACTGACACTTTGACTCGCGGTGCTCAAGCTCATGACATCGTCCGGGATTACATTGGTAGCAATGGTGGCAGCGTCACCTGCTCGTGGCGACATGACGGGCACTCCTGCCTGACGTCCGACCACACCTTGAATAGCCGCCAATTGCGAACCGGAAAGACGATTGTTGACGGCTGGTCCCCTGGCATTGGCACTGTGTTGTTGCTGTTGTTGTTGCTGGTGTTGCTGTCGTGCCTGGTTCAAATAAGCCTGTTTGCGCTTCTTTTCCTTATCGAGTTCATCCTCAATATTCTTCATGGCCTGTGCCAACTCTTGTTGATGCTTTTGATCGTGCAACTGCTGCGACAGCGCGGCGACTTGTTGACGCAAGGTATCCCGTTCACCGGTGATTCCCTCCAAATCCTGAATGTACTGTTTGGCAATGTTCTCGAACTGTTGCAATCGCCCCGCCAGTTGATCATTGGTGGTTTGCAACGTGGTGGTCTTTTGCGACTGTCCTTGCAACTGTTGATAGAGACCCTGCAATTCGGCCTGCTTGGCATGATCGACTTCTTCCAATTCTCCAATGCGCAACTGGAGCGTGGCAATCTTGGATTGTGCCGCTTCGGTAGTGGCCGTGGATGCACGTCGACGAGTCGCATCGCGTTGCGTTTGGAGCGCCTCGAGTTGTGCCTGCAAGGATTGGACCTGATTGCGCAATTCACCATGCGCTTCTTCCTGACACGCCGATTCGAGGGAGAATCGCAGATCCGCCACCGAGACGCCCTTCAAGTCGGACAAGATTCGAATTTGTCGTTCGAGACGGGCAATTTCTTGATGCTGCCATTCGTTCTTGGCTCGTTGGACACGCAGCTGTTTGGATAATTCCGACAACCCGAGGTTGTTGCTATTATTGTTGGGTGATGTTGTTGTTGCTGTTGTGGGTGGGGGTGTTTTCATCATGGCCATGCCAGTCGTTTTGGGGGCAGCCTTTGGTGGTTTTGGTACGGCTGAAGCTGCAGTAGTTGGAGCTGGCTTTGGCTTGCGCACATGAGGATTGGGTGAAACGTCCATACCCATAGTAGGGGCCTTTTTCTTTTGGGGCGTGGGAGTTGCCGGTGGCTTGACTTTGGTAGATTGTTTCGCCGTGGTGGTAGTGCTGGCTGTAGCTCCCGTGGCAGTAGCTGTAGCTGATCCTGCCGTAGACAAGGACTTGTTGGTAATGGCAACTGAATCCGAGCTTTTGGAAGTCCTCTTCTTGGCAGCAGCAGGGGCGGCCTTGACGGGACGATCCGGAGTGCTCTGGGCCGTACTGGGAGTGGTGGGAGCCTTCTTTTTGATTCCAGCCGCCTTGGCAGGAGTGGCCCTTCCCGTGGCTCCATTCAAACAGTTGAGCAATTCTTCCATCAAGGCATCCGCATTGGCCACGGGTGGTTTGTTGTCTGGTTTGCTGGTTGTTGGTTTGGACACGGGTTTCTTGGCAGAGTCAGCGGCAAAGGCAGTAAGATCGTGAGTGATTTCCGAGATGACGGTATCCACATCCACGTCAGTTCCATTGCTACCGCTGCTGGGGGCATCAATCCATATCCCCCCCAACAGGGACGACGTATCGGGGGCCATGTTGGCAGAAGCCGTGGCAATCATGGGAGTAGAAGTTGCTTTCTGCTGTTTGGATGGAGGCTTGTTGGATTTACTGCCAACTTTGGATTTGGCTTTTGGTTTTTGTGAGGCACTCTTTTGTGCGCTCTTCGTCGAAGGGGCTTGTGCTTGCTTCATGATACCCAGCTCGTAAGAATTCAAAGGCTTGATTGAGCAGGGGCCAATTATTATTATCAATTCTTTGGGAAAGAAACACTCGCAACCAGGTCCAGAAGAAACCAGGACTTGCAACGAAAGATCTGATTCTTGTTTCGCACCTCTGCTCTTGATACCGTACGAGGTGCAGCAGTGATTACATTGGGTATCTCAGCCAAGCAAAGCAAAGCAAAGCAAACAGAGCTTGATGCTGGATATCTCCCTCAAGTCTCAAGTCGTGATGGCTACACTGGTTATCGTAGGTATCATTAGCAGTCATGGATGTTGTGGCTTTTCGGAAGCAGCTCTGCCATGGTAGCAATCGTGTTTTCCGGTTCATTCCTGGGAGAAAAAGTGAATAAGCCAGCGCACTTTTTAGTTGATTTTTCCAAAAATAGAAAAACCCTAATGAGACTACCGTGTTAACCCTTCGACCACAGCCGTCCATCCATTGCCCCTTATTTTATGTTGACGTTGTTGAACAGGCAATAGATAGAGATAGAGAGGCCATCATCATTAACCACAAGCAGCTCGAGATCTATTGTTGGCTAGCTACTAGACAATCTTCCCCAAGATGAATACCCTTCGAAGGTTTTCTCGAACTGCCAACCAGAGATCCAGGAAATGGCAACCGACGACACGAGTCCTTTCCACAAAGCCCTCTTCTTGCGTTTCCAGTCTGCCATCACTTTCCAACGAGGAACCGTTTGTCTCAGTGTCGTATGGCTCCATTAATAATAATGTCAAAGGTGGTAGCCATCGACCATCGTATTTTTGGCAAGATCATCGACAGGTCCTTGCTTCCTCCATGCTAAAACGACAATCCTTCTCGACCAGCACAACATCGGATGGGAATACTTTTGATTTCAAGAAACGGTTGCTGGCCAGCGCCCTCCAAGGGGATGCACCTCAAGCACAATCCATTTTGGAACAAATAGAAGATCAAATGAGAGCATCCAACCAAAAATCGACAGAAAGAGAGGAAGAATCGCTTTTGGAATGTCGAGAAGCCGTCTTGGATGCATGGATCAAGTATCAGAAACTACTATTGACGGAATGGCAAGCGTTGCAGGAAGCAACAGTTGTTAGTAATGCCCCCAAGCAAGAGCAAGACGACAATCCGCAAACAACAGCACAACCTCTAGTGGAAACCACGACTACTAATACTAGTGGTAGCAACAAACAACGCAAGAAACAGCTGCAAGCACAAATCTACGAGGCTGCCGAAAACGCCCATCAAGCCTTGGAGAAAACGGTGCCCTTTTTGAACCAGTGGAGTGTTATTTCCTTACAGCAGGTACAATCCACAAAGAAAGGGGATGCTTCGGACGAACCATATTTGGAAGATGCTATTATAGGCCCATCATCATCATCCTCCTCGGGCAGAAACAAGGCGGTGATATCGCATCGATGCAATGCCGTTCTCGAAGCGTGGGCCATTGCCTCTCGTGTCAATGCCAGCAGCAGCAGCAAACACAAAAAGAACCCCACCAGCAGTACTAGTAAAAAAGGAATTCCCCAACGAGCCACCCAATTAATTCAACGAATGCAAGCTGCCCCTGCCACCACACAATCCACAACGATCGAGTCCTACAACTGGGTTTTGGAGTCGTGGGCGTGGAGCCGCGAACATTTGCGAGCCACCATGGCCCAGCAGGTGTTTGACACCATGGCAGCCAACCGAAGACGAGCCAATGGAGATTCTTATCGATGGATTATTCAGGCTTGGTGTCAAAGTCGACAGCAAAGGTCAGCCTTTCATGCTACGGGGCATCTCATGAAGTGGTTGCGACTATTGGAATATCGAAGGGAACGCATCGAACCGACACCCGAAATCTATCATATGGTGATGCAAGCATGGACGCAAGCAGGGTGAGTACTGTACACCGGGATCGAGCTAGACGGATGGGGGGCGTGTTCTGTTGGAGGATCCATGCGGATTGATTGTGTATACACCGAGAGTTCTCTCGACTCACACAGTGCGCTTGTTTTGTCAATTACAGCGATCGAAATGCTCCCATGAAGGCCGCGGGAATTTTGAGAATCATGGAGTTTGCCCATGCCAAATCGTTTTGCTCTGTCCCTGTCGATGAGACGTGTTACCGCCACTACCTGGGTGCGTTGGGGCGTTGGAGCGTAGTGCCCGAACAAGGTCCTTTGGCCGACAAAATCATCAACCAGCTCAAAGATCGACAGATCGTTCCTGACCAAGATTGCTATGGAGCCGCCATTCGTGTCCACAAAAACACGGCATTGAATCCACTGTTTGCCCAAAGTCGGGAGACTAGTATTACGAGAGCCGTCGAATTGTTGGAAGAACTGTCGCTGGCTCATCACCGGACTGCTCTAAGGGCAATCAAGCCTGATACACAAAACTACAATGATGTCTTGGAAGCTCTGAGCGTGAGCAGCAGGGCAGTTTCCAAAGATGTTGCAGAAACATTGATCACGGTAATGGAAAAGGCATCTGCAGAAGAAGGCAGCGATTGCGACTTTCGCCCCAATGCAGACTCATACAAGTGGTTACTAGCGGTCCACGCAAGGAGCCGGGATCCAGATAAGGTAGAAACGGCAAGGCATGTTTTGGAGCGAATGACGGAAACTTTCGCCGAAGACAACAATTCACGGGATGAATCAATTGTTGATCTCTACAATGCTTTTCTCGATGTCTGTTCCTCGGCTGCTCCCCTCAAAGACCACAGCCAGCCAACAATATTACAGGAGTCATTGAAAGCCGTCGAGGAATTGAAGTCTCGGTATTCGCTTCAACCCAACCCTCAAACTTATGCAAACCTACTTCGAGTGTGCAAGAATCATCTTGCTGTAGGCAAGGAACGATCCAGAATCGTGGAGACCATCTTCAAGAGCTGCCGAGATGAGGGTTTGGTCGATGAAAGAGTACTGCGTTCACTCAAGTCTGTTGCATCGGAGGACCAGTACATGGATCTCGTAGTGTCCAAGAGTGATTTGGTCGAAGGGAAGCGCATGGTTCCAGAAGAATGGACCAGCAACGTCGGTTTGGACAAGATTGTCTCGGCAGACGGAAGAAAGATTGCACCGTTGAGCGTCGACGGTCGCTTCACCATCACCAAGGCGATGAAAGAGTACCGCATGCGCAAGCTACGGTCGAAAGCCAATCAGAGAGTTCTGCAAGGCGGTCGACTGAAACTGGACAAGAAGCAGCAGGGCATGCCAATCATAATTGAACTTGAAAGATCATAACAATACTGCAATACTAATGAATGATTTACATACATACAGATGACTTGGCTGCATTATTTTCTCTTTGGGAGAGCCGATTGAAAGCCCGCATGATCACTGAACCACTTTTTATTGGCTTCTCGAACTCGTTCCTTGTTGGCGTCTGGGTTGACCAGTTCCATTCCCTGAACGGTGCTGAACGTCATACTACTCGCCATTCCCGAAGTTCCACCCTTACCTTGAGCGGCAATGGCGCTCATTTGAGCCTGCCGCTTTCGACTGTTCTTGGTATTTGCCTGTCTCATTTTTCGTTTTTCGGTTGTCTTTCGGATCGATCCCACTCCCGTGGCTTCTGCCGTATCGAGGAGCCCCATCGATTTGCCCATACTGTCGTCACCGTACTCACCTGCCATGGCGCCAAAAGCACGTGTGTTGGCTTGTTTCATCATTGCCGTCTCCTCGTATCGTTCCTTGAGTCTCCGCATGCGTTTTCCTCCACGACGCTTTTTGATGGTAAGGTCGGGTCTAAGAAGAAGAGAGAACCACAGGACAAGTGAGAATTCACGAAAACAACAACAACAACAACAACAACTCCATAATATCAAGCTGCAAGCACAGCTTGTGTAGCTTCTCGAAAAGCCAAGCTTGCTCCGCGGATCTTTTTGTTTCGAGCGGTGCAAGGTACAACAGTTAGCAAGACCACAGTTCTGAAAATAACAAAAGGTAGCGACAACCAGATTCATTCCAACAGGAAGAACGAAAACGAGGTAAATAGTACTCACTTGGGCAATGCCTTGAGAACGGGTGCCTTGTCGGGTTCCCCCCATTGATTGATTTTGGTTTCAATTTCTTCTCGAAACTTTTTCCCGGCGGCTGCCGATCTGGTTCTTCCAGCATCGACATTGACAAAATCGCAACGCGCCACCAATGCCAGTTTGGCGGCCACCGTCTTGAGGACTTTTTTCTGCATGGCCTTGGGACATCGCTGTACCATGTCGCATTCGGCCAGCACGCCTTGATGCGGCCGCGTGGACAGAGATGACAATCCAGCCCGTGAGGCGGAATTGTGTTTGACTTGTCCTAGGACTTGTAGATTGCAGGATGGAATTTTGGACAATTCCGCCAATCCCCCCGCCAATCCAATCAATTTGGCCGCCGTCGAGGGCCCGACCAGAGCACAGACGGAAGGAGCCAGTGATTCCATGCGACTCTCTACGAATTGCGTGAGTTGTTGTTGTGTTTGGAGAATGTCTTCCATATACACGACGGCTTCTTCGAGTTGTTGCAATTCGTCGTCTGTCAAGGGACGTCCCGAGGTGGTGGAACCCGCCACACTCAATGTAATGATCTGATTCGAATTGAGGACATCAATGAGCGCTTCTTGCACTTTCGCAATATCCATTTCATTCCAAATCACTCGAACCGCATTCTTGTACTGAATAAAATTGGGCAACAATTCTTCTAGTTCCGAGAATTTGGGTTTGTAAATGTCGCACACGACGCCATGGGCTTTGGCGAGTTCTTCCAGAAGACTGGCTAGAAACTTGTTGGAGGTCACAATGAGTTGATGCTCGTCGTCTCGTTCGTCTTTGGTAGACGACGGCAACAACAATTGGCTCTTTTGAATCACTTTCAAATGCTGCTGCAAACTGGGGCTGTCCAGTAACCGCTTTCGTTGGGGCATACTGATGGCTGTTTTTTCTTCCACGTTCATATCATCATCGTCCTTGGCGGCCGGCTTGGATTCTTCCTCCTCGGGATCGTCGCCGTCGGACAAGTCGTCCAGGTCGTCGAGCAAGCTGTCTGCTAAGGTTGCGCCTCCTTCCATCTTGTGTTTTGTGGATGGATTGTTGCTTTGTTGAACGTGTTGGTTTGGAAATGGATGATACTAGTAAGAATAGACTACTAGCTAGCTAGCTGGCTAGTCTAGCTAGCTAGTGTCTATTTGACAAGAGCAGTCAACAGCGGAACAACCCAAATCACATCCATACGGTGTCTCATCAGACATACTTTTTAAAAAAGTAAAAATTTGGCCAGCAAGCAAGCCAACCCAAAATGCTATGAATTTCGATACTCAACAGATGTACCGATGACGTACAGACTTTTGCTCAACGTTTGGATGGTTGACAAACGGTCCGGATTTGTGTTCCATTCGAGCGTTGGACAAATCTTAACCAAAATTTTATCTAAGTAAAAGGGTTAAAGTTATGTGACTGTCACGAAAATGTCACATGCATGACTCAGCCTGTCACAGAGCCGGATTTTTGCGAGCAAGCATAGCCTGGCAGCGAGGATGTCACACTTGACGTACCAGGCAAGACCAATAGGTTTTGTGATTTGGGTCCGTGGGTCGAGCGCAGACAAGCTGCGCTCGCCCAGAGCAGCTAGACACGACTAGTAGAGGATTAGGTGAGTGGAGAGACTCGGCCATTTACTGAGCCGACCGTCTCCAGTCCCCGGGGTACCATTCGGGACTTGGGAGTCCCGGATGGATCCCACACGGCAAAAGGAAGTCCCGGGAATGTGATGTTCCACGGGACAGCCTTGAGTCGTGCAACCAGGGAGGGAGAGGTGGGTTAATCTAATCTAGGTTCTTGTGCAATACACGGCTCTTAGCCTTATTCGCGACTCGATCCTGTTGGCCGGTCTAGATATTTAGCGGACCCGGACAAGAAAAAGACCGCACCACCGTAGGAATTTAAGGAAACTGGCATTCTCAGATCCAGACTTCAAAGCGACCAGCCAGAAAGATCACTTTTTCTTCACAGCTCGCCCAAATCAACAAATTAACCTTGATATTACTAGTAGCTGCAGTGTTATTAGACCCAACACTGTGAAGAAAAAGGTTTTTGGATTGTTTGTATTGAGTTTGTCCATGGTAAAGACCAAAAAGATAGAGTAACCAGGAATTGAACTAGAGGTGCTGAATTACAGTGGCTAGCCTCACTATCAGAGGTGCCTGTGGGCTCCAACAGGAAAATTTCGCTCAGAGGAGGCTCACAACAGGAGCACGGAGCATCGGCCGATCAAGTTCTCGACCGATTCAGCCAAAACCAAGCATACCAGCGGAGAGAGCGCATCAAGCCGGTTCAGATTGATGCTTGAAGCAAGGTCATCGGAGCTAAACTGAAGGAGTAATCGCCGATCGCGTGTTTTGGGTACCCACTCTACGAGCAAAAGCCGATCGACGCGAACGAACACGACGAGCGAACCAAGAGAGATACAGCTACGGCCGCATACAGGGATCGAAAGAGGACCTATTGCCGCCTATGCCACGACAAGTGCAAGCTCTCAACTCCGAAAATTGAGCGAGATACGACCAATCGAGTCAAGCAGTGCTGAAGCGACGGGATTCCTACAGCCCGACAGTACTCGACGCACTGAATCTTCAGCGGTGAGCCATTCCAGCCTATGAAACTCATCCACTGAGTCTATACAACACCAATACAAGTATCTATAACAAGAAGAAGGCTTCGAGTCGACCGATAGAGTCCATCGGTAGCATCCTCCAAGCTCAAACGGTGTGAATTTCGTGTGAGCCACAGATAGAGCCACGATTTTTTGACGCGCAGATAGGAACAAGCCAAGTTTAAGGCTGGAGCAGTCACAGGAGTGACATATAGACCCACAAGAGGCTACCTGATCAATAGGAAAATAGGAGGAACCCCCTCCAGCTCCACCAAGCGTCCCAAGTCCCAAGTACACCGTATCCAGTACAAGTCCACGCAGCCAGTAATTCCTCAAGGCAAATAGACCATATCAAGAGCAAGATGACACGATTCAACAACAGAGGAGGCCGTGGCAACAGAGGAGGAGGCAGAGGCTCCTCCGGCAGAGGCCAAGGCGCCGGTAGAGGCGGTGCCAGTGGTGGCGGTAAAGGCAGAGGACAAAGCAACCGCCGCAAGTACCTGTTCCATCCCAATGGACAGGCTGACTCCAGATTTTATCCGTTTACAGAGACATTGAACCACATTGTGGCTACTTTCAGAACCAGGTCAGAGTGGATAGACGTTCCAAAGCGTCACTGGCCATTGAGACTATGCAAGACCAGACGCCGACAGAGCCAACGGAACCGTCCTATACTACGGATGCTGACGGCAAGAAGATATATGACGAGCTCAAGCTAACTCTCTACAAGAATAAGTTATCTACTTGGCAGAAGCAGGAAACTGAGTACAAGAATGCCCTGCAGAATGGGGCAGCCAGCATCTACCAGTTTTATTGTACCGAACAGATGAAGAGCAAGCTACGAAATCCATGACTGGGAGCAGACAAACTGATCCCATTAAATCCTAGGCAAGATCCGAGGACTGACTGCGCAGGCACCACCAGAGAGCATCCCGTTGTCCAGTTCGTCAGCCAGTTACGGCGTGCCCTTTCCCCCAAGCAAGAGGAAGAAGAACCGACTGATGTCTTTCTCCGTAGAGTGGCTGCCGACTCGGTTCAAATTACTGACATCGTTGGCACAGGATACATGGATTGTTTCCTTCTGAAGCAGCCCGAATAGAGAAGATCAAGGATGACCAAGACAAGGTGAAAGAATTACCTGAATGACGGACGCAAGAGATCATTGCTCTCATTGGCTACAGAGGGTTATTCCAGGACGGTATGGCGACTATCAGCTACCGTGGAGGCGTCCTATGCCATGGATGGCACGAGTAATTATCCCCACGAGCCTTGAAGCTCTCCGTGAGACCCTACTCTGATCGATTCAAGCCCAGCAAGGAGTGGTATGAGGCCCGACGTGCCCGTACAAGGGCTCTGGCCAGCCCAAGATGATTGACCCGACCCAGAAGGAGTTTGGTGTCAATGCCAGTTGTCCTCTTTCAGCAGAACAAGCGAGGCGAGGCTCTGCTACTGCTGCGGCAATCCCAACCACAAGTTGCGGATTGCAAAGTTCGTGAACAAGATCCCCAAGCCCGGGGGCCACTTAATAATTTCCAAGGTCTGAAGAAAAGTTCTTCCAACAGTACCCCAGTTTCGTGAAGCTTCGACGGCTCCGGTCCCACAGACAGTTACCGCAGACCCAGCTTCCCCAGCAACAGTCTTGCGATGAGCCCCGATGCTCAGTCGCACAGAGTGAGTTCCGACCCAGTTTTAGTCCAATTCCACAAGGATCGATTCCACCACAACTCCAAGCACACCAAGCGCAAGCCCTAGCAATTCAGCAGTTCCCTCGTCTGCTCCGCCGCTGGCTCGACAATTCCAGGCGTTGCCACCCATAAAGCAACGAGTTCCAGTTCCGTTCCGCAGTACCACCAAGTAGGGATTCCAGTTCCCGTTCCGAATGAAGCTGCAGCTTAGCCCAAGTTCCACAGGTACAGGCGCAACAGAGTGCCGTTTCACAGGAGTGGACTGCAGATTGGATGACGGATTGAACAAGTGTTACTGGATAGTTGCAGCTCGATCAATTCAGTGGCCAATATGGCCTCGGTAAGAATGAACGGGCAGCCAGACAGCGATCGACATGCAGACGAATGTGGGCAAGGCTCGAATGGACCGAGAGATGGATGTCCCCTGGGGAGTTTCATACAAGAACCCAGGAGGCGTGGCTAACATTAATGCCCTTGGTATTCTCTCGGATGAGTGCAGAGCAAAGCAAGATGGCTCAAGAGTTTGGATGGACACCGCATATGATGATGCCATGTACCACCTCCGTGGAGACGGTTCCTATGTCAGATATGGGAGAACCAAACTCGGTTTGTATGGTACCGACATTGACGATCTCGAGAAGCAAATCATGAACTCCTACGAGAAACAGAACTCACCAGCGTTCTTAATCAGATGGTCCAGACGTGGAAGGAAATATAGAAGGCTTCACCAAGAAGCAAGTGAAGGAGCTTTCCAAGCAAGAGAGTTCTATGCGAATCTCCAACTTCCGCCTTTAGAAGACTTTAAGAATATGACCGACGCCGGCAGATCCGCGATTGCCCCGTGATTTTGGAGGATATCAATAATGCCGACCTGATCTTTGGCAAGGACATGGCCAAGATCAAAGGTTCCACTACCCGGAAGCGTCCACCACCACTACCGAGAGTGTACATGCAGTCCCTGAAGAGTTGTGGTCCCATCACCGCAATGGGCTCCAGGTGCCATGGATTTATGTCAATATTTGTGGTCTCACTTTCTCTCCTTTATCGTTTTGAAAGTTCGATACAGCCAGATCGTCCATTTGAAAGATTTGACCACGGACTCCTATTATCAGGCCCTGGATCAGATTATGGACACGTAAAACGGGAATAAATTCTACATCGGAACCATCCAGTGTGACAATGCGTTCAAGCGGTTGATGGACCCGATCAAGACGATATGGGTGTGAAACTGACCATCCGGCAGCACAGGTGCAGCTCCCGTCGCAGAGCGAAACAACAGGACAATCGAAGACCGTTTCCGAGCAGGTTACCACGCAGTCCCTTTTCAAGTGATGCCGAAAATTATGGTGGACATCTGGTCTACGATTGCAAGAAAAATTGAATCTCTTCCAGCAGCCGAGGAATCTCCCGTGTTTCCCTCCAAGGCAGATTTTGCTGGTAAGACCACAGGCTCAATGATGTCAAGTATACTTTTGGCAGTTTCTGCATGGGTACCACGATCCCCTGAAGCCGCAAGAACAGCGCGAGCCCCGTGGGTTGGAATCATCTACCTGCGTCCAATCCTGGACAACAGCAAGGTTGGCCATTATTTGTTGACTTGCACACCTGGAATGGAAGACACGCCAGTATTTTGACATTCTCCCGATGCCAAGATTGTGATTGAGCGTGCGGGAAAAGAAGGCTACAGTGAGGCATGAACCGCTACAGACCCACAACAGAAAGCAAGTGGAGTTTTGCCTGTCGGTTTGCCGGCAGAGTGGCGGGAAATCAAGAAAGCGAAAGTTACATGCAAACATTTTTCCATTGATGAAAAAGAGGACGATGCAGAACCAATCGCGCCAGTTCCAGATTGTTTGACAACACTGTCGATAGCGCGATGAAATGATGGTCGGTCCCAGGTTTGGTGCCGAGAC